TCTATAAAATAGTATCAGGAGGGTTGCATGTCTCAGACAACACCTAAGAACGGGATCAGGGGTCTGACCCTCCCAAAATCACTAACAAAACTCTCCCTGAGTCTGGTGGAACCAGGGTTTTCCTCTGGTCTTTAGTGCACCTGGGAGGCAGCCTGGCTGAAGCCATGTCCCCAGAACAAGAAAGAAGGAAAAGCCCACACAGGACACTGGAGTGAGGAAGAGCAAGGGTTACTGCAGCAGGAATTGCTGATTACCTGAGTGGCTGTGCTCATCCCACTGCTTCTACTGAGATTGATGCAATCTCGGATTACACTCACTTGGCACACAGATTTTTAGTGGGAATCTGGCAGAGGAGGGATTGCTAGCTGGTGAAAAGGAATTGGAAGGCTCCTGTGGGCAGGGTGGAGCCTGGGAGACAGTAGGGATGAACATGCCCAATAGCACAGTCCTGCACTGTCTGGGCTGTGCAGCCCAGCATTTATTCCCTAGCAACCCAAAGGCAAGGGAAAAACTCTTCCACTGCACTGTACCACAGCTCCCTTTGGCTTCCCAAATCCAGCAGCCTGACTCCACTGCCCTACAGAGCCACAAGGGACAGGAATGTGTGGTGCTGCAAGGTCCCCTTCCTTCCCAAACCCAAATCCACTCGACAGCATTTCCTTACGGGACGTTTTAACCTCCAGTATGTTCATTTTAATGTATTAAAGTGTGTTTGGGTTTGGGCTGAAGGACAGTCCCAGCAAAGCTTTTGCTAAAGCCAGGCACTGCTGCTCTAATGAATTGTTTTAAGCAGCAGGTATTTCTATTTATTCTGGCATCAAACAAAAACCCGCCCTGGAATATACAGAAACATTCAACACCAACCACTATGGAAAATGTTTTTAATGTGAGAATTCCTTTTCTTTTCCACTCACAGCAAACCAGCTAGGCTTTTCCCTTTCCTTGGGGATGAATTCTCTGCTGTGACACAGTTAGGGGACTGGACTCAGTGTGACGTAGGGAGGAAGATGTAAATGCTCAGGACACAGTACAGGCAGGACAACCAGAACTGTCCCTTGCTGTGGACAGGCCAAAAACTGCAGAGGCAAAAGGCCAAAGAAAAGGTAAAAATGTGCAGTTCATTATTCAGGTGTTTTACATGGAATAAAATCACCTGCCTGGAGACTCAGACCCTCGTTTGCCAAACCTGGGCATATTTTGGAGCACTTTACTATGATAAACAGCCAGGAGATGGGAATGTTTTTCACAAAACATTGAGTCACTTGTAGAAAGAGTCTGGAAAACTACATTTCTCAATCACCTCCACTCTCTGCTTGGTTGTCTCCAGGCAGCGACTCCTTCAGCTCAGCCTGCCCCTCTGCAGTGCACACACTCTGCTTTCTTTTCCCCAACATCAAGCCACAGAAAAGCACATGTGATTGCAGCAGAGGTAAAGTCATTTTTAACCAGGGCAATTTAAGGATATTTAAGACACATTCTCGTTTTCCATTTCCCAATTCCACACTGCCCCCACTTTTTTATTATCTGAATACAGGGAAGCTTCAGCTTGGATCTGGGGTAACATGTACACCGAGGAACGAGGGCCAAGCTCTGCCTTGAAATATGCAGGATCATTCCTAACTAACCGTAAAGCTGCTTATTTGGCACCAGCAGTGGAAATACTGAAGGAAAGGGGCATTCTCAATCTGCTTATGTCACAGAAAGGTTGGATCCTGACACTGTGCAAGGCTCCAAACTGCAGCCTGATATTAATAGTGAGACATTAAACTTGCAGTTTGGCTGCTCAGAGACAGTTCCACTGGAACAAAGATTCTCCTGCAGGAAACGGCAGCTCTGGTTGGAGTCACAGCACGAGGGATGAGCCTGGAGCAGCCTCTGGAATTCTGAGTGCTGTGGGACAAGGCTGTGTCACACAGAGCAAACCTTTCTGCTCAGATTCTCAGAGGCTGTTGGAGCACCTCCTTTGGAATTCATCCCTTCTCTGGGCTGACTTACCCACCCAAGTGGGGCCATGAGCATTAAAAAACTATTTCTTACACAAATGTGGCTCTGTATCACCCCACAAAGACATACCTACATATTTTCCCCCATTTTTGAGCTTGTTTCAGCAATTATGTAACCCTTCCACACTGCCCTGGCAGCTGGGCCAAGAAAATTTGAACCAAGTCCCCAAAGCAACTGCTTTCAGTGAGGGGCCCCTGCCAGAATACAAATACAAACCTCCTGCTGCTGTTTTCTCTCTGTGTCTGCATGGCAGGCAAAGATTCCAGACAGGTTTTCCAATATGGATCTTTTAGACTACAAATGAACACCTCTTATGAGCCATTTAAACTTCATGATCCCACTTCCCAACAACAGCTGGGCCTCGGTGTTTCCCCCAGGAAAAGTTCTCCTTCTGGATTTCTCATAATGTAAAGAAAATCAAGGTATGGTCATTAAAAAAAAACCAAACACATTACCTAGAGCACTCTGAGCCCTCTTATTTCAATATACATAATTTAAGAGATTCCTTTCAGTCTCCTGAACATGACTGAGCAATATTAGATTCTGGACTTGTGTTGCATCACACACCCAAGACCACCACTCTCTTTTTACAGGAGACCTCCCTAAGCCATGCAATCTCCTGTAGCTTTGCACTCAAAAATCCCCATTTCAGAGAGGTAGACAGAAGCTTTCAGAATGTCAGTGACTTGCCAAATGTCACAGAGTGAGTCAGTGCCAGAGCTGGGAATAGAAATCAGGAGTCTAGAGCCCAGATTCTCTGCCTTATATAGAGCAGCAGCCTCAGTCTCACAGTTTAAGAGAGCTCCTGCTCACCAAAAGATGTTTCTTCCTTTACAGGATGGCAGTATTGCCACTGCAAGGGCCAACTTCACCCATGAGCAGGTATAAAAACACACAGTCATCTGCTGAGACCATGTTCCTCGTCTGTAAAAGTGAAGTATAAGGCAAGAAATGAAAGCAAGTTGCTGTTGTAGAGAACTCTGGGGAGTGCTGGAACCTCAGCATCACCATCAAGACCAAACACAATGTCACTCACTGGAGCAGTTTTCTTGCTTTCACAGGCAGTGCTGCTGATTTGGAGAGGACTGTCTGGGAGTTGGAGTAAGGAACAGGAATCTGGGAACAGTGGAGATGGTTGAAACCCAAAGATAAACCTTCATAAGCCATATGGAGTAGCAACGGGCACCTTCCTGCCTCGATTGTTGCACTCATTTTAAGCCCAAGTAAACACCCCACTACACTGGTGCTTAGATAACCCAGGTACATACCCAGGGCATAAAACAGTGCCTATTAAAAACCTATTTCTCTACAACCAACACCTGTTTTTCCCTATTTTGACTAAGGAGGGAAGTTGGAGAATCCTTCACAGGGTTAAAATTTAGTACTGCCAACACTAAGCACTTTCTCAACCGGTGCATGTCACAAAAGCACATTCATTATTTTAGTCTTCCTCCACTGTGAAAAAATGTAAATGGCACAACAAGGCCAAATGGGGCACAGAAAATGCATAAGGGAAGATACAAGTGCTTTGCTGACACATAATCAAACTGTCAGGGGAGAAGGAAAGTAGCACTGAAGAGAGCTAAGAGGCCAGACTGCTTTTGTCTTCTAAATTTCTTTCATTCACCTTCTAAATATCTTGGAAAACTATGCTGGAAAGAGCAACAAATGAGTTTAATCTTTATTTCTGTGGTCATTCACTTTCTTGACTGCAGCCACAGCCTGCAGCAAATCACTGCACAAGAAATAACTTGGGTATTGTAAGAACAGAAAAGAAGTCATAAAAATATTTCCTTAGTCATGCTGTCTCTGGTAATATAATTCCCTGAATAGAGACCTTCAACAATACTGTCTTGGAAAATGGAAAGAGCTCTGACTTTAGTCAGCATGTGTCTTCCATCAGCTTCTCTCTTTTCTGTTTTTTTTAACTTCTTTATTGTATGTCACCACAGCCATCTCCAGGTGCAGGTACACAGCACAAAAACCCTCCTCAGTGGAAGCCTGTTTTCCACAGAATAAATGCATTGTGAGGGATTCTGCCTGGAAAGAAAACCTGGGATGTGGAGGCCTGTCCTTGCTCATGGGTGTGTATATTCCAGCTCTGTGTTTTCTCCTTTCACCTGATCAGTCCCCACACCACAGAGAGGGAGGACCTGCATTCCAAGAGGAGCCTCCACAGGCTGTTCCAGAGCTCCTGCTGAAGGTACTTTCCCCCCATGCTCTTCATCACCCACTGTCAGCAGAGCAACTCCTGGGTCTGCAAGTGTCTCCCTGAAAATTAGGATCCATCCCCAGTTTACACAGAATTGTGGGATAAGGGGCCATTTGACTTTGAGGCAGTACTAAAAAAAAAAAAAAATCATGTGGTCACCATAAAGATGATTTTGAGCTGTGCCTCCAAACACTGCTGCTACTGTGGAGATTAAAAAAAAAACAGGAGAACAGATACAGGGAAGGTTCTGCTACCTGAGTGAAATAAATAAAGTATTTAATGTGTGACATGTAAGGACCCTGTGTATGCAGGGTTTGAACATGATTAAAGGTAGTTAGGAAGAAGGAGGAACAGGAGGCAGAAAAGAAGATTTAACTTGGCTTTCCCACAATGAGGGATTCTTCCCCAGAACCAGAGTTTGATCTGGGAGTGTCACACAGGTTCTCACAACGGGAAATACATTCCTCAGTTAGCAAATTCTTGGTTTAGGTGAGAGAGAACTGAAAGGAACATCATACAGACACACCAGCAGGCAGTTTCTTCTACACCCACTCCAAAGAAGATTAATTCCCGAACTCTGAGACCTCCAGGGTTTAGAAGGGGTTAAAATTTAATGGCTTATTCATAGTTCACAGCCTGCTCAGCTAACCCATATTTGTATCACAGAGGTACACAGATTGCAAAACCAACATTACAGCAAACCAAAGAATGAAAGATTGCCCAGAAAGCTCCTCTTAGCACAGAGTTGGCTCTCAAAATACCCTCCCCTGCTCCTTTGACTTACCCACAGTGTCACAAGGCTCGTCTTTGTGTACGCAGAAATCTGTCCTAGAAAGAAAAACAGAACAGAAGTGAAATGGATCCTGTGCCTCCAGACTCCAGGCTGGGAAAAGGCACTGGAGCATGACTCACAGACCAGGGGTGTTGAGGTTTGGGGATTTTTTTCAAGCTGCTGTGCAGTCTACAGGATGACAACACTGATAGCAGCTCTGATTGCTACTGGGGAGGTTATTACAAGCAATTATGTGAATCAGCTCCATACAGCACAGTCAAATTCAACAGACTTAAGATTTAGCACCTAAAAGAGCCCTGCCTCACTCTGTGAGATCAGACTGCTTCAGCAACCACATTAAAACTGAAGCTCTTCTTTTTCACAAGAGAATTGTAACAAAAAGAAGACACCCGGTGATGGAGCAGCACCATCAGAAGTGGGAGTAGGAGATGTGTGGGGCACTGCCTGAAGGCACAGAACTAAAAATGTATACCCCAAAATTCTCAGTTCTTCAGGTTTTTTTCTTGTTCTTCCACTAGAAGAGAAAAGGACAAGAAAGAAGCAAGACTAAACAGAGAATGACAGATGTTGACGTGGAACGAGAAAGAGAATTTCAGGATTTGCCAGGTAACAGGTGAAATGGCTTCAGCTAAACCTGCTACAGTCAGATTTGCCATTTTATGATTTGAATCCAACACAGAGAGGTTCAAGAGGCTTCATTTGGCCTCTGCTACTCCCCCATATCTCATCAAGGCATGAGAAGATACTACATATGACACATGCACCCACAAATCAACAAGGAATCCATGGAGCTGTGTTAAATAGAAACAGAATAAGAAGCCTTGAAACTCCCCATCAAAGCAAGGGCACTTCACGTGAGAAGACATGAGATTCCTCATGACAGAAAAACACCTGTGGGGGGAAAAGGTATTTTATAACTAAATTAATGGTTTGAATACATTTCTATAAGCACTTAGACCTAAACTTTCAGGAGCTCTCTTCACTAGCCCTGCTTTGCAGTGCAATCCACTATGAAGAGGAGCTGGAGAAAAACATCACATGTGCTAAAACATTTCAGAAGCTCCTTAACCCAAGGGGAGCTGAGGAACCATAATCTCTGTCATTATGGCTTTCCTCACCCTGTGGGGAGGCTGGTGAAAGAACCCTATTAGCACATTTGGAGTGTGCCTTTTGAAATGCCTGAATCCCCGTGGGATTCAGAGTTTAAGAGTCTGGTAGGAAGAAGATCAAAAATACTTTAAGATAAATACTTAGAAAAAGAAAATACTTAATATAAAAACAGATAAATATTAAAAATACTGTTTCCTTGAAGAAAATTATGAAACTAGGATTTATAGGAAAAGGGATTTAAGGCCCTGGACTGCAGCTGATAACCCAAACCCTTCACTACCAAACTCCTTTAAAAGTCACAAATCAAGTTGTCAAAGGCTTGGAAGGAGAGAAACAAACAGCCATTACCAGCTCTTGTTAAGCAGACATTGAAAACTAACCACGCTTGAGTGCAGAAAAACCATAACAACCATCAAAGTGTTAAAAAAATCAGACAGGGACAAAACAAAATCGGAAGCTACGACCACACACCGGCCCCAGCCTTCATTTTTCCCCACAGCCTGTGTCTCGACACCTTGGCATTCCAGCCTTTCCAAGGAAGAGTAATGACAGTCTCCTGACGGAGCTGGCACCAAGCTCCTGCTTGAGTTCCCAGAGCCAACTTGACGGAGGTTTATTTAAGGACTTATTATGTTATATAAACTGGTAAATCAAACAGATGCTTTTCTTGTGACAACAGATAGCTGAACTATTAGTAGATGGCACGAGGCCACTGCTAGAAAAGCCTCTCTCTTCAGGGGCCATCCAGCCCTGCAAATAACAGGCAGCAGTTCTGCAGTTCTGCTCCTCGCAGGCTCTTCGACACCAAAAGGCGTCTGGCACTTCCAGGCAGCTCCACGGAGGGATTGCCACTGTGCCATAAATGAGGGGGCTGTAAAGGATCCAGCACAACTTGCAGACACTCCTACAGAGGTAGAACAACCCTAGTCTGTGATGCTGTTTGGTCAGGGAAGGGCTTGAAACACGTCAGCAGAACTAAACAGCTGCCCAATTCATTGCATGAGGCACTCCAAGTATGAAACCCCCTCGGCCCATCCCTAAAGCTCCATAAACACAACTCCAAGGGACCCCATCCTCATATTCAATGACCTTGTACCAAAATGCCAGGCTTTAAATCATCCAGACCTTACCCCAAAACCCTGTGGCCAAACAGAAAAGCACATCCAAACCTTTAGTCACAAACGAGCCTGGTGGGTTCTCAGTCTTCTTCCAAAGGCAAGGAGCCATTCCATCACAAAACCTATCCCTGAAACTCCTACAGTCCTTCCCTGGCAATCAGATGGGAGACACGGCCTGGAAAGGGGTTAAGAAAGACCTGTCTCACCTGTGGGCCAGTCACAGCAGTGATTTCAGATGGCCCCATTCTGCCACCTGAAGCTTATCTGCTGTTAAAAGGGTTTCAATCACAGGTGTCTCTCTGGCACATTCTTGAGCTCAACTGCATCTGTATTTCTGAAGTGAGAGCTTGACATGACTGATACTATAATGGCATTCAATGATATAAAGGAGATATTTTAACATTCACTGCATGTGCAAAGGTCTCTTACCACAGAGACATAGTTTTGTTAGCAGAACCTTTTACTGAGCTACGCTGGAATAAAACTGACTCCAGGAGCTGCAGTTCAAATTCAACATCTGACCTTATCACACTGAGTCTTGGATAATTCTCTTCACCTCTATCCACCTGAATCAAGCAGGACACGTGTTCTCATCTTGCAGGGGCCTGTGAAATTCTCAGTCACTATCACGTGGAGCTGAGCAGAGGGTTTCCATTAGCAAACTACAACAATTCTTCTCAAAAAATGACAAGAAGTCAGTTGTTTTGTTCAATAAAAACAGCCAGAAGAGCTCAGAACTCCTCCTACAGTCACTCTTCCATCTGGCTCCCACCAACTGGAAAAAAATACCTAACTGTGCTCAGCTAAACTCTGCAATTCAAGTCCTTCCTGTAAGAAAGGAGGACAGTAGCTGAACTGTGCAACAGGAATAAGAAGTATTCTGTTAAATGGCCATTCCCAGCATCCTTCAAATGACATCTTTTGACCACTTTAACCCTGCAGGGTCATAAAGCTGAGGGACAGAGGAAACTGGTACAGTCAAAAACCTGCCAAAACAAACTTTCCACATGCATGTGTACATTCAGGAGCACTGTGTGCCCAGATTCCTCCATGCACAGTGAATTGCTCCATTTGCCCATTTAATGGAGAAATGTGGAAGGGAGGAGCAGGCTGCAAAAGGAATAAATACACCACCATGACAGGAGAAAAACCAAGTCTTTGCTCAATGACAGCTCTGAATCCTGCTCCTGTCAGTGTTGTGACATTCTTTGCTCTGCTATCACATGACCTGTGGTCTAACAGGTGACCCAAACACCTCCAGCCAGGAGCTGGGACAACAGCAGTGAGTCTGAAGATTCCCCAGGGAATGCCAAACACAGAGGATCAAGAGGGGGAATGTGCTTCAGATGAGACATGCTTCTAAAATCACTAAGATACAGACTCTGCAGACAGAAGTTATTCTGCCTGTTAAAATATGAAGTACATTATCCATAGATGCCAGAGATCTGAGTTTCTGCAGGTTCAGAAACAGAATCTGAACAAGAAATGATTATAGAGACCACAGCACTATACTCAGACCTTCAGGGCTGTGACAGGTTATTCCCACTGTCTCACTCATTTATTGAGCTGGACAATGGTACATCTTATTTCACAGACACAATGTGTCTCTTGCCTGGAGCTCAGGTGGATACCATGAAAATCCCAAACGAGGAATATTGGCCACCTAAATAATCTACTTTTGCATACAAAAGATGACATGGGGACCATCAGTTCGAGGTGGAGTTTCAAAAGGCAAGCATGCCTTGGTGCTTCAAATGAACCCAGCCAGATTGGAACCAGAGGGATTTCTTCAGAGCTTGACCCCAAAGAATCTGTTTCTAGTCCTAAAGCAGCTGCAGCTGCTGAAAATTCAGCTTCTGCTTTTTCTGGCTCGATTGCTTGTGCTGGACATGCTGCTGCTCCCATCTCCTCTACCACTGTCCATCTGCACAGTCTGGGGAGGGTCCAGGGACACACACACACACACACACACACACACACACACACACACACACACACACACACACACACACACACACTTCCAAAGCCAAGAGGAGAAAAATTCATTTCCCTGACACAGGAATCGGGTGCTGGGCCAGAACTCTTCCAAGCAATGCAGCATCCTCTGTGCAGCAGAAGCAGGGTGGGTTAAGGATGACAAGACACAGCAAGAAGGAAGGAGAGCCTACAAGTCCACACTGCTGGCCTATCCAACAGGAAAAATGCTCCTCTTGTGCACAGAAATGTGCTCTCTGGCCTGAACTTTCTCACCAAAGCTGAATCTAGTTTTTAACCCAACCAAACCTGTACTTCTCCACCCATTCTGAGTGCAAAACTCTGCAAATCTATTGAACAATTCCTCCTAAAATTTCTTTCTCCAGTTCTTCCTCAGATGCCTGAGTCCAGCTCATTTAGCCTGACATTATGCATTCAATTTTAAAAGCTGCACAGATGAAATGCTCTGCTCATTCCTTACACCCCACACTCAGAGCACATCAGAAGAGATTCTGTCTGCCTCACTTGTCAGGCAGGACAACTGGATGCCCAGATGAGTTTAACAAAAATGTTAGTTATTTATTTAGGCCCTGATCCAGTGAAGCACATGCTTAACTATAACCAGGATATGCAGCCCACTGACTTCAAAGGAACTATTCACCCTGTCTAAACTGTTAAATATCTGTAAGTGCTTGGTGGACTACAGTGAATACAGAGAAGAGAGGAGGATTTGAGGGAACTGTCTGTGCAGGTGCATCCTTAGGGACTCTGCTGGCCTCATGCCCAGCTCACCAGCTATTTTACTGAACACTCACCACAATCCCATGGATAGTTTGCATTGGGAATGGTAACAAAATAGATTATTACAGTCAGGATGGCAGTTTATGCAAAAACATATATTTCTGCTACATTGTTGGCAGAGAAAAAAGGTGAAAGAGGTAATACTGAACTGCAACACAGACATTTCCTGTCTCAAACTGGGGAAGAAGGGAGTAGGAAGTAGTGTTTTTCTAGCACAAGGAGCATCCATATTACACTATAATTTTGTGCTCACTTCAATTATTCAGAGATCACTTCTATAACAGTGAATTCTTCATTTACATCTTAAAGGATGCAAACAACTTAAAACACCATGGATTTGTTACTCAAAATGTATGGTAACTGTGAGGAACATTGTACTGTGAGGTTGAGCTCAGGTAGGTAGAGGAAAAAAGACTGTTGTCCCTACAACATCCTTTTTCTCTCTTTATCTGATGTGTTTGATACATCAATAAGTGGAGGAGCTCCAAGGTGCAAAGGATTTTGCTCAAGTATTTATACAAAGGTTATTTCACATCTGAAATAAATGCAGGAGTTTCCAGTTACACAAACAAATCAGGACTGACACCCCCTCCTCCATCTCAGTTCTGACAGAGGAGGGGTGTTACAGTGGTTATCTCCTCAGGCAAAGAGAGAGGAAATTAATTCAGCTTATGGTATTCATCTTTCATTTTCTTTAGGAGATAACTCCCTCACCACCTTCCCCACTGCTGACACACTGTCTGCTCCTCTCAGACTGTTCAGTTGATTCATTCCTAATTGCACAAAGACCACTTGAGCTCAGCTGTGCTCTTAATCCCACACTTTTCTTCTAGGAAGAAGGGCTCATGCTCCAAAACCTCATCTATTTCTTCCACTTATATCAGGTGGTGTGAGAAAAAAAGCATCTCCTGTCCTGCCTGATCCTGACTGTGACATGTAGCAGTGACCATGACCCTGACAACACTTAGGTGTTGTTACCATACCTGGTTACAAAAACAGCAGCATCCACAGGAGGGGTGTCATCCCTTGCACCAGGAACCTGGTTGTTACCAAGGTATTTTGCTCCACCATATTCTTCATTCTGCCACTGACAGAAGCTCTCCAGAGATCTCTCTCCATGATGCCCAATAGACAACTTTGCCTTTTTGGGGGAAAAAAAAGGTACAAGAGAACAATTATCAACCACAGTCTTTACATAAAGCATCAGATCTCTGATGAAAAATCACAGACTCAAAGACATAGATGTGACAGAGTGAAAAGTGTGAAACCAGCTTCATCTGAGCAGTGAACTCAGGACTGTGGACTTCACACTGACTTCTGCCAGTTGATCTACAGACCAAACTCCACCAGCTCAGCAGTCACAAGTTTCTAGTACAGCTCTACATTCAAAAGCCTCCCGAGTCTGGAATTTATACATCTGATACCAGAGCCATGTCATTTTTAATCTCTGTAAGAGTTAACTCCTGGGACTGGTTTACAACTACAAGCAAACAAAGACTTACCAGCGAGGATAAATAAAAGGACTCTAGTTCCTTTCACTCCCCCAGCCCCCTACACTTCCCACCTTTAGTGCTGCCTGGTGAAGTGTGACAGGCACCCTCACAATTTGTGATCCCGTGGCCAGACAGACCCCACTCCCCCCTCCCACCCTGCTCTGGGAGACACCACAGAACAATTGCAGCAGCAGGGCAAAAATGAGTTAGAACTCACAGGGCGGTTGTGGAGCAGGACTAGTTTGGTCACTCGAATGTTGACTTTAATTCCAAGGCTTTGATGCTGAAACATGTTGTACACCTGTCAAAATGCAAAGAAAACATCCACAGCATATCAGCAACGATACCTAGTAATAACTGAAGAAACTAATTGTGACTAAAGTTAGACATTTGTCCTGAAAAACTGACACAGAAAAACCCCAAATGAGTTGTGCTACTACATTCAGTGAAACAAAGAATTTTTAAGAGCTACAGTGTTACCAGCTCTAATAGTTCCACATACCACAGGGTAGCCACAACACTTGCAAAACCGGAGTAGGTTTGCTCCTACCTCCTGCACTGGGATTCCCCACCTGCCCAATTGGTCACAGACTAACCTGGGCAAGATTCAGCATTCAAGGATAAAAAACATTAAAAATAAACAAAAAAAAATACACAAGGCCAGTTGCTGAAAAAAAAAAGAACCCCAACTTTTAACTGGAATAGACAAGATAAAAATTAATGAAGAGGAGAAAAATATTCCAAAGGAACTCTATGAAACAAAGTCTCAGGAACATGGACATACGTTATGAAGCATCCAACCAACATGGATCTTCGGCATTTAAATATCAGAGATATCTCAATGCAAGATGAACTAATGGTGTGCTTTAGACTTCAGGAAATAGAATGGAAAAGCAATTTCCCTCTGTTATTTTCATATCTTATATGAGAGAATAGTAATAAGGCAGCACATGATGACACAAGCCTCAGGAAATACAAAAATAGCACCGGAAACTACCTTACTACTTTCTCCAGATTTTGCATTCCAGCTCAGATACTTCACCTCATTTTCAGAGGTTAGAATATAAGATTTTAATTGATGCCAGAATTTTACTCCCCCCATTTCTCCATGTACAAATGTTTTAACTAGACTATATAAAAAAAGTGAGGGAGGGGTTTATTTTAAAAAGGTGTAAAATACCACATAAAAATCACTGGATGAATATTGCATTCGCTATTTAGTCAAAAAAATAAAATCAAGACCACTGAAGAGAGACTCTTGACAAATGGGAGGCAGGATTTGGCCCCAGGTAAGCTGTATTCCTTACTCATTTGGCTACAAATATCACAGAGGCCCAGCTAACTTCCTACAACGAACCCAAGACATGAACACATCTTGGATATTATGTTTTCAACGCTTGGTATTTTTCCTATTTGTGCAAATACTCAGGAATGTGCTCAATGTAAGAGTGTTCTTAAGCTCTTTAGTGTTTGGGGTTGGATTTAAAGCACACACGTAAATGTTTCCTACAATTTAGGCACAGACTGCAAGACAGAGCTACTCAGTGTTTGACCCACTGACCTTCAGTATGAGCACAATGAGCCATTTATCTTCCCTGGGGCTGGTGTACAAATGCACACAAGTGCTGGTACTATTTGCTTAGCTCGGGGGTATGTTGGTAGAGCAGCTCAGGCCTCTCACTACAGACCTGGGGGGGATAAACTTGACACTTGCAGGGAAGGGCTCTGACAGATGACCCCTGTGTAAATGGAGACCTGGACGTTCAGCTGGGAGGGTCAATGGGGCATCAGGCTGAAATCGCTCCTGTACCACTACAGGGCCTGACAAACATTTGCCTGGGATGGATGCCTTTGGTTTGCCCAACCTGCTCTAGCTCTGACCCTCCCAGAAAGTTTCCACTCACGAAATGAGGGTAAGTACAGCAAACGTTCTTATCACTAAGCCTAATGGTGCTTGTCTTCCCATCAGAGCAGACAAGCTGTCTGCCTCCAGACCTAGCACAGACCATCCAAACACCACTGATTTCAAAAGGTAGATTTCCATGGCAAAACCAGCTGCTGGAGAGTTTAGGATGTCATCTTGAAGGCTGTCAGCCCTTCTTCCTTTTCTGTTGTGCTCTCTGTCCCAAGGATAACTTTGACTGCACTTGTATTTGCATCCATCAGCGATCTCAGAAGAGCTCAACCTACCAAGCAGCAGCAACAAGTGGATACTAAACCAAAAGGACACCAGGCATGCAAAAGTCTTCACTTTGTTTGTTTATTCAAGCTTTGTTTGCTTATTTTCTTAAATGAAGCCCAAAGAAGCTCCAGACTGATGACAGTTTGTGTTGCCTAGACCGAACATTAACCTCTCCCTCCAGAGGGAGATCACTTAACAATTACCATCACAGGCAACATACACTTGGTGAAAACTGAATTTGCCAACTAAAATAATTTGTATAAAGAGAAAGAAAGATGAATTAGAACAACTCACTGCATCCTATAGCTTTTCCTAGGCTCGACCTCCCTCCTCCATTCCTGACTCCTTCCCCCTCACCTGCAGCCATGCGGGGGGATGTGGAATGGTGGCTGTGGTGGCTTCATAACAGCTCCTCTCTGCTGCTCCTTCCTCCTCCTACTTTGCCCCTGTTGCAGTATAAATCCCCTCCATGGGCTGCAATTTCTGTCAGGAGAACCTGCTCCAGCACAGGCTCCTCTCCTCAGGTCACAATATTCCTCAGGGAACAGCCACCTGCCCCACCATGGTTCCCCACACAGGCCGCAGGGCAACTCTGCTCCAGCACCTGGAGCTCCTCATCCTCCTGCTCTGACCTGGGTGCTCACACAGATTTTTCCTCACACTTTTCCCCTCACTTTTTTTCACTATATAGGGTTTTTTTGCCCTTTTCTCAGTATGTTTTCACGGCGGCACCACCAGCTCTCCTGAGGGGCTCCACCGGTGAGGGCGGGAACTGGGTCTCCCCTCAGAGCAGCCCCTCAGCCCCCCCGCCAGCCGAGCCCCACACGCTGTCCTTTCCAATGGAAACCCACACTCAAATCACAGGTGGAAGGAACCCCAGTGAGAAAACAGGCTTTTAAATTACTTGGTAAAAAAAATAAGAGCCTGATCCAGCACAGGTTGTTCACAGTCATTTTGGCGGGACACAGCCAGCGTTAAACCAGGCCGCACCGGGTATGCTGTGCCCAAAGGAAGCACTATCACAGAATCCAGCCGTCTTTAAAATAAAAGAATTCAAATACAAAGGTCTTTCCTGCTCGGAATTGGGATTCCATCATGGAAGCAACAACCTTCTTCCCTTACTCACCCAGCCAACAAGGAAACCATCACCCGCAGACTTGGTGTGTCCAAGTGTCCCTCATCACCCTGTGAGCTAACCATGGCAAGAAAGGTGGTTGGGATAACTGGTACCAGGGGATTAGGAATGGGATTTCCCACTGCAGATGTTCTCAGGATTTCCTGCTGCACGGACAGCACGCATTAACAGAGACACTGACTCACAGCCACCTCCCTTCCCACTCCCAATACCATGGGCCACCCTTCCTCAAGCCTGCAATTGCATCCCACCCTTGAGGCTGCTGTGACCACTTGCAGCAGGGGAAAAATAAAAATATTTGGGGTATTTTAGAAACTTCTAATAATGTAAGGCAGCTGGGATCAGGAGTTCGGTTTCATGAAACCCGCTAACACACTGCCATGGAACAAAATACAAAGGTTGCTGGTTTAGGACATCACCACAGTGGCAGAAAGCAGCTTGGCTGGAAGACAAATGGAGTTTCTTGAACACTAGGCTGAAGGGAAGGGATGGGAAAAGTGGTCAATGTGACTCAAGTGTTGTGGTTGCCCTGCTGCAGATTAACTTCTTGTTGTATTGACTTCTCTGTGAGGAGTCATCAAAAGTAGAGTGAGCTTTGAAAACAGAGAGAGAGATGGTAAAAATTATCCAAACAGACAGAAAAAAATGGAAGGCAAAGTGCAGAAAAACGAAAAAAAAAATAAAGTAAAAAAAAAAATAAAGCTGGTTTCTGACATCTCCCTCCTTCATCTGCACTTCTCTGACAGAGCTTTACTGAACAGAATGCTCTAGAGATAAAAGGAGAGCTTGAAGCCTGGACCATCCTGCCCAGTTTGCATTCCTCCTGCCTTTTTTCCTCCTTACAACTTTGACGTGGATGGGGCAAAATAAATGCAGTTTTGCCATAAGCTGTCCAGGCCTGCCCCAGCATGCATAAAGCACAACCCAGACATAAGGAATTGGGCTGAGAGAGGAACTAAACTACAACATTTTAATTTTTTTATAATTCTCAAGAGCTTCCTCTGCAGGTGGACGGGGGGAGGGAGACGTGTGGGTTTCAGATGTTCTGGAGTTCAGAACAGCAACCCTGAGGGTAAATTGACTTTTTTCTTTTTCTTCCCTAAGCATTGCACTCGAGCAAGAGCCTTCCCATTGCCTTGGCTGCTGGACAAGGTTTGGACAGCAGGAGCATTAGTCAGGTTACTGAGGTTGTCTTTCACTTGTTTTGAAAAGTGCTATAGGATTTCTAACACCCACCTAAAGCCAAGCTTTCAAATTACTCCTTTAAACATTATGAAAAAGAACATATTCATGGCTCTTTATAAGATACAGTTGACATAACTCTTTCTCCTGGGGCTGCTGGAGCGAGAAATCTGTAGACAGTGATCAAACACTTATATCCTTCTCCCTTATGTCCCTGTTCCCATCATGAAAATTCCAGATCAGGATAAGGGAGCTGATTATCAGTGGCAGCTCTGGAGCCTCAATGTGCCAGCCCCCAAGAGCACAGATATAAATCCATCAATGTGTGCATGATAAAAATGATTTTATCCGCTTCTTTAACATAAAAAAACCCTCACAGGGGAAATCCAAAATGAAAAACAATCCGTAAAGTGTAAAATCAGGCTTCAGAGAGTAAAACAGTATCACTGCTAAAGAACAACATAAGAATTTTCCCTTTTAATGACATCCAAAAGATCACTAACTTCAAGTTCCTGCTTGCTGCTGCAAAGAGCTTCCACACTAATCTCATGGCTTAGAAACAGCTGCAGGAGAACTAACACTCACTGCAGTAACTTACCCCTCCACGTTGATTCTCTGAGAAAAAGGCAAGCTCAAAACCAAGCCACACTTGTAATTTATTCCAAAACCCCAAAAAATGCACTTAGGGCAGAAAAAAAAACCCCAACCCAACTCTTTTTTTTTTTTTTTAATGTTTTTAAACCCATAGAAAGCAGCTGTTGAATTACTATGTTGTGGTCTTGGAAATTCAGACATCTCTGTCCCTAAATGCTCAGAGGGTCAGTCTGGGTGGGACTTGGTTTGCAAAGTCAACTCTGCACAACTGTGAGGAGCCAACATGCACAAAGTTCAGGTACTGGCTGAAACCAGTCACTCCTCATTATTAAAAACATTCCAGCCATGGACAGAGCCTTCCAAAGGGTCTCATCCTCATCTATCATATGCTCCAGAATCATCTGAATCAGTTTTTTCCAGAAAGCTCAAAGCCTAAACCATGAAGACCAGCCAAGAAGAGGCCAGTGCAGTTTCTCTGTGAGGACACAGAATCTTTTTTCTTTCAGACGAGAAGAAGACACAAGAGGAAATAAAAGCATAAAACTCCTGCAAGAAAGAACATCCATCCAAACAGCTCCACATGGATGAAAAGCAATGAGAAATTACAGCTGCCAGATGTAGACTAACAGAATGGGTGAGCAAAATAAGCATGTTTTTAAGCATCTTTTACCACCAAGGCACTTGGTTTTGGAATTTACAGAAGTTCTAAACACTGGTGACTACAGAAGGGCATGAACAGGAGATGCTCTCAAGCCAAAGGATGCACAGGTGAGACAAGAACTGGAATGTAAACACTGCAACACTGAAAAAGCTCAATAACAAGGGAGTTTAACTTAGAAAAATAAATCAGCACCTCTATTTAAGTAGCTGGTTTTGAATTTCTATAGTTCTGCTGGTATCTCTCCTTGACAATGTCCTTACATTCCACATGCCCACAAACTCATTGCCTTGCTAAGGCTGCAGATGTCCATGGTGGCATTGGACAACAACTTTATCTCCTGTTTGGAAAATCGAGCTGAACCAAACACCTTGCCAGGAAACAAGAAAAGGTTTCTTTTTAGCAGTGGTGACTTAAAAAAAAATCAACTCAAATCCCTGGAGCCATGCTTGTTCCTACTCATACATCACAGAGCACCTTGGAGGGAAATTCTTCCATGATCTTGGAAAAATCTGTCTTACAACTTCAAATATTAGTTCAGTAAATGGAAGAATTTTCACCCCTGCAGTGACATTCACAAAAAACCAAGTACTTCTAATGTGAGTCTATTCTCTGTTCAGGGGCATGGTCAGAACTACAGAATACCATTAAAAACACAGCATTTGCTACATGAAGTACTACCTGCTATTTCTGGGTTCCAAAAAGGGTTTGCTGTGCTTTTTACCTGTTATTCTAGAGGAGGGTGGTGGGTTTTTTCCCCCCTAAGATTCTCATTTAACAAGGGAGCAATAAACCCGTATTTTGTAATGCTGACTTTTTTTCCCCCTTCAGAAATTCTTGTAACATAAATAGATATTAAATACTTTAAGGCAGATCACTTTATTTAAAATGTCCATAAATATAAAATGCATTAATAAGACCTCTTAATGCTTGTTTTGTGGTTTGACAGTAAACGTAATGGCTTACAGAGAGGAGTTAAGTTAATATACCCCTGACCAGTAATGTTCTATTTGCTTAAATACAAGCACCCAAGCCAAAATTAACATTCTGGTTTCTTTTAGAGGCAGCCTGCCATCCTGCAGTATAGCTGAATAAGCACTGCCTAGCATCATGGGGCAAATCCTGTCCCCCAGCTAACAGTCACAAAAGGCTGAGAGGGAGGCAGGGCAGGAAAAATCCCAACCAGCCAAGAGCTTGGCCAAGACCGACCTAAAGCACATAACTCACTCTCTGAAATAATGTTTTTCTGCATTATTCTTCAGCTTCTTTTGCTGGGATGAAGATCAGCTTTCATTATGCAAATGGAACATTAAAATCCCCTTGATTTTATCTTGTTTTACAGCCTCAGAATAAAGGATTTATGCAACAATGCCATCTATGTGTTTGCCTCTCCTTATTCCTCAGTATCTTCTGGTCTTGCCAGTCACTCACAACCAGTGTCCTCAGGGAAGCAGAGGCCTGAAAAATTATGTTCCTACGAGTGTGGGAATGTAGGTGACAAAGGAGAGAGACTCTTCCATTGCCCCCGTGAAGGCTGGAAAACTGAAACGTAAATTCAAATCTGAAGGCTAAAAAGGTAAAACATAAATTCAAATCCTATCAGACATGAGAAAAAACTCACATAAGTGAGACCCTGAGAGCAATGACTTAACAGTGGGAAGCATTTCAGCTGGACTTTGCACCTTGGGAGATGTCACATAACTGTGTTCCTCATCCAAGAGTCCTCTTCCATGTGCACTCTCTAATGTCCAATAAAGGGGTGAGCTCACACTACAGCATCAAAACCAAGCTTAAAAGTCCATCAGCTAAATCCATTGGAAACTAAGCTTCAATATTTGTGTAATAAATGGGTTTAGAGAACCCAACCCATCTATCAGCACCTCTCCACACGTGTGTTCACACCTGGCGAGATGATGTTGCTGAGATGTTCTGCAGCACCTCAGCCTGGACAGACAGCAGGACTCACAGCCACCTTTTAAGGCTTGGTCTACCAGTGTACTCATCCCTAACAATTTTCCTCTTTATCTTTGTGTAGATAAAGCCACACAACACAGAGATTCCCAATGGTTATGCTGAAATCACTGCCCTATTGGCATGAGGATCATCAAAACAAATGACTAGACATGTCTGAAAAGCTCTCACAGCCATAATGGCATGTCCCTGTGGAGCACAATGGTAGATTTTTAGCATTTCCCTGATGAATTAGTGCAGAACAGAGTTTAGGAGGACCCTTGAGTTGCCACTGCAAACAAAAAGCTTCCATCACCCCTCCCAAGGTCCCAAGCACTCAACACAAGGAAGAAATTCAGCCTTGGCATGTTACATGTGAATATGCATTTCTGTTAGTTCAAAAAGTGACTTGAGAAGCAAATTTGTTCAGAGCTGAACTTATGTTCTGTCTGCTCACTGCCAACCTGATATAAGAGTATAAAGTTGGAAGACTGTGGCTTTGAGAAGAATAAGGCTCTTGTGCCTCCAGCAAACACATCCTTAAACACAAGAGAGTGGGTAAGGAGATCCTGAAATGATGGTGACATCCATGGATTTGTTGCAAGGAGACATTTCCTACAAACCAAATAACTGCAGAGCCACAATGAAGCCCCATTAAGTGACCATTGTCACAGCAAATAAAAGGGAGCATTGGAAGCAAATAAAAGGGAGAGGAAGGGACACAGCAAAGCAGCTTGTTAATGGAAAAGACTAGTTAAACAAACTCCCTGCTTAATCAGCAAAGCAGTTCACTGCAGGAGAGCTCCCTCACACCAGTGCTTGATAAAGCAATACAAGACCTCTTAAAAAGCTGTTGTTCCAGAGCTGGTTTCTGCTGAGCATCCATCACTCAGCTCTTCACTGGGCAGGACCAGGCAATTACTGTTAAGAACTGTTATTTTTTCCCAAGCCAATTTGCTGCTCATGAACAACAACAGAGACACAGGGAGGAGAATGAGCTGTTCCTGGATATTACAATAGCATGGGCAGAGGAATAGGAGCTTCCTCCAAGACTTCCTTGTGCAAATGCCTCTGGAAGGACCCCTGCCGTCTCTGGGCAGAGTTTTCCATGTCCACATCCAATTTAGCCATTATCTCTTTACAGGCACTGCCAACAGCTGAGTGAGCATTCACTGAGGGAGGCTTTGTGTTCCCTTATCAGCTGAAGCAGAAGGCTTTACTACAAGGACAGCTAACAAATTAACACCCCCACTCCACAGGAGCCTGCAATTTCCAAGCATTCTCCTCCCTCCCGACAGATTCCCTGCAGAATTTCTAGAATGCTTCTAAAGCCCAACTCCATCAACTACTCGTAGGTATGATCAGCACCACTTCATGTAGCCCCAGAGGTTGCATGGGATCAGCTGGCAGTTTGGTGATAAGTTTTCCAACTGAAGCCACCATTTTCATTATGTAAAAATGAGAGATAAAAAGTGTTCTGGACATAAAGCCAGGTTTTCTGCTGGAAATCAATACGACTGCTGGCTTCAGTAACACTTGGACTGCCTGTGACACTGATCCACAGAGAAATCTCTCTCATTTCACCACGGAAATCTTTAGGAACCCAAGAAACATCTTGTCAGATACCACCATCTATCCACTCCTGGTCACTCTCTTCCAAGGCAAACCACAGCAGCACCAGAAACCTGGTAGAAAACACCACTACTGAACAATTATTTTCTAACTGAAAACTTGCAATTCCAGTTTAAAAAAAGGTTTTTTACTGTGATGCCCTTCAGCAAATACAAGGAATAGCACAGAGAAGAGGAGGCACATAACACACGAAAACCTTGCTCGCACCTCAAGGTCAGAACAATTCCCCATTTCTGCTATCAATTAAAGCAGCTTGAACCAACCCTGGATCTGATCTGCTTGCTCTTGCTGGTTCTTTTGAGAGTAAAGTGCCCACTTACCATATTCATGACTGTGAGGATGAACCTCTGGGCAGCCTCTGCACCGTGGTATTGGACCATGTCAGCATCTGCCACCACCAGAGTCTCCACCGTGTACTCGTTCGTGAGGCGAATCGCGTTCCTTCTCTCCCTCCAGTCACTGGTTGACTTCATTTTCTTCTGTCTCTTCTTTTCTAAAAGTCAAAATACTCCTTAAGGCTGGCAGATCATAATATAGCATTTATACCCCTTTCAACAAACATTCTCATGTTCAGACTGCAAGAACACTTTAATTAAAGTGCTCTTTGCTGGTCAAAAGGAGCGACCAAGAGGTTCCATTGCAAGCCCCTCTGCACGTCTGTGTGCAGAGTGTGTGAGACCACCAGATGACATGCAAATAAGGAAGAGGATGGGAAAAGAGAAGTTCAAAAAAGCCAGAGTTTAACTGTAATTCAAACCAAGAAGCCACGCTCTTGCAAAAAAATGTGAAAAACTGTTTGTGAAAGGAGTAACATTCCACTATAATGGAGCAAGTACTAATTAAGGAAAAGTCTGTTGAAGACAACTTTAGGATAGGAAACCATGCTTTGGGATGCAATGTACACTCTAGACCCTGCAGCTTCTCCACAGCCAGGGAAGTTGTAAGATATTCCTGGAGTCAGTATTTCCATCCACTGCATTTTTACTTGCTACCAGCACTACTAGAGCAGAGTAACAGAACATTAGATAGTCTCACAATTTTTAAATTAAGTGGGATTGTTTTGGAACACAGGTTACTGGCCAACTGCAGAAGTCTCTGGCTGAGACTCAGGAGTGCAGAAGGTCAGGTCAGATAAGACCTTCTCAAGCTCTCTGTGCTCATTTATTGCTGTTGGCCTGAGCAGCAGCACCAGCAGCTGCAGTCACGGCCACCTACGAGTAGAGCTCATGACCCAATTTGCTGGGGTGTGTGACCCAAAACCAGGGGACTCCCTACACCAGCTGAGTTATGAACTTCAGTCACAAGAACCCGTGACAAGGACTCAATATAAGGACTAGAAATCAAAGCAGGGATCAGCCACCATTAACACAAAAATTAAACCACACAAGTTAAACCTCCCTTCCTCCAAACTGAGGGACTGATGGATTAGTAGTTTGTCTTCTAAGCTGAAAGGTGAAATGTGTTTCACAGCTCAGAGGCAGATGTGCAAAGCAGCTGAGGCATGAACAAAGGAGAAATTAAGTTCAGATATGAAACTGAACCCGCTCACTTCGTTGCAGTCACAAAAAATGTGTTGGTGTTTTCAGTTGTAAAATGAAAGAAAAGCAAATGAAGTCATGAAAACAAATTTATTTTTGCAATAAGAAAAGATCTGCCAAGATTCACTGAAACTCTCTCTGCTTACTGCTCAGCCTGTGATATATGATGGGTAAGATGCTCACACTGGTACTAACGCTGATTCTTTTTCTTATGGAAAAGGGAACACACAAGCCCTGAAACAGCATAAACACAACAGTCAGTGCAAAAGTGACACGGGATGGACCATAATGGATGATCAGACACCTCTTATGTCACACAGCACGTGCTGCTCACTTCCCAGAGCAGAGAGTCACTTTTTAATTTTCTCTAGACTTAACCTGAGGCCCTCTCTGAGCCAAGCCCCACTGTGCAGCAGGCAGAGCTGAGTTAGCACTCACTCATCCTGATCTTCCACCACCTGTTCACCAGCTCCCTGACAGAACTCAGCTTTAATTTCCCTTCTTTCCCAGGTGATCAGTTTTCCCTGAGTGACTCTCCTGCATTCAGGGTGATAAACCCCATCAACTGGAAGCCTCCTAAGCCCCTGCCTTCACTCATTCATAATACATTTTCTGTCTTGTCAAGGTGCACATTTGCACGTGTCCATCCCACCTCCCTCTCCCCAGTTGTCTCCCAGCCATCCAGCACAGCTCTGCACGTGCTTTTCTGCCCAAGGCATTGACTGTCAACACTTGGTACATATTTTAAACCGAGAAAACAACCGTGAAATTTGATTTGATTTTTTTTCTTAACAGAGTTTGGAAATATCCCCCTGGGTCTAAAGAGACAGACAGGAGCCTATGGACAAGCAAAAAAAAAAAAAAAAGAAAACATGGGGTGATCATAAATAATGGAAGCTACGTGCCAGCACCAAGTTTCACGGCCTTTTTACACAGAGATCACAGGACAGCTACAGAAAAATGCACAATCATGACAAAACTGCCCCAGAGCAGGGGATTTCTATGCTTCTAAGTGCTTCAGAAAGGCAATAAAATAAAAAAGACTGACTATGTGAGAAAGCAGGAAAGCTGAAGGCACCTTTCATTTGCCAACTATGACACAGAGAGGACTTCACCAAACTTTTATTGAAAAGCTCCTGTGTTTGTGTTTATTCACTTCATTCCTTTCATCACCCATCCCTCCCTCTGCACAGCTGCACATCTTTACCTACAGGTCTGCAAGGTTGTCTTTTAAATACCAGGGGAGAAAGCAGAGAAAAAGGAATAGAAGGCAAATTACTCCAGTAAAAACATTGACCTTTTGGGTTTTGCTGCTAGAAATTAGAACCTTCCTGGAAAGAGCAGCACCTCCCCATCAAATTCTTATTTTGGTAATTCCCCAGGAAATTTAAAGCTTACAGCTGGTGTAAACCCCCTACCTACAGAGAAGTTGCTCTTAGTGGGGGGGCTGAGCCTAGACCCAACTAAGTCTGGGCTTGGCATTGAATGAGCTGTGTAAAAAGGCTTAAGTGGAAGAAAAAATGGGAGTACTCTGCATTTTCACTTAAAAATCTCCTTTTTGGTGGAACAGAAGACGAGGAGCAGGAGGAGCCCATTATGCTTGACTGTAGCTTGCCCTCCAGGGAGGTCATGCCATGGTCATTTGCCATGGGATTGCTGGCATGGTCCCTCCTCCAGAGGTAGATGAAGGAATTGGCACAGCTTTGCCAATCCAACTCGGCACCTCCTTGCAGAAGGCAGCTGCACAGAACTCTGCAAGGTGTGACTTCTGGAGAGCAGCAGCCTGAAGGGACTCCTGGCAGGCTGCTGGGTAGTCTTGGTTCACTCAAAGCCCCTGGCCCCCATTGCTCCATGAGTTCTGCTTGAAGCTGTGGACTGGCAGCTTTCCAGGGAGCAGTGGGGATTAGAGGCTGTGTGTGGAAAAGCAGCACCCCACAGGCTGCAGAGGCACAGCCAGAGCAACCTGACAGAGAGAATGTGGGCTCTCACTCTGACCCTCACCCTCAAGTGTCCCAGTGTAAGCTCACCTGCCCCTCAACCAGGCAACAAGGGCTCCAGGGAGCCCACAGAGAGCTCAGGTGGTCACTGAGGTACTTCCAGGACAGGGAAAGCACAGCAACACCAACTGCTTGAACAGAGGAGTGAGTGTGTCCCTTTCTTTTCCCTTTTCCTCTTTAATTTGTAGCTCCTCCATAGGGTAACTTTGCTAACTTTTCTTTATCCTTTCTGTCCTTGCTGAGGGCCACTTGCACAGTGGTCTCTCTTTGCACCTTCCTGCCCACCACACATGCCAACAGTTTTCCAGCATAATCAAGCACATGGAGAAGACAAGCCATTTGCATGGATGAACCCTCACAAGGAAAGAAAATACACACATCCCACACCACAGACATTTGGTGAAGAGGAGAAAAAGATCCAAAACCAACAGTAAAAATCCTCATAAAATGCATCTGCAGCTCATACCTGAGGTGAGTCGACTTTATGGAGGTATCCAAAAAAACCCCATCTCTAGAGCCTCACTTCAGAAACAAGTCAGCACAGAGAAGTCTCACTCCTGCCCTGCCAGATTTATGGACCGTGGGCAGAATCCCTCCATGAGTACATCAAACCCCAAACTAAAATAAACATCGGCCATTAAAACAGGGATTAAATGCTTGGTGGATTCTTCACTTGAACAAACTGATGTTACAAATTTTGTGGTGCAGATGTTAAGTGTTAGTGTGAAGGCATAAGAGGCCATAAACCACGGGCAGGAGCCTGTCAGAGGAGTTTACATTGTGGGGAGCACACAGAATCAAAGTGAGCACTATTTTAGGAGTCAGGTGTTCCCTGCTTAAGAGGTCAGAGAATTTCACATGAAATATGAGCTGAAACAGTCAATCTCCAGCACAGCACGTCTATGCTGCAGGTGACTGGGCACAGGGAACATGACTCTTTTGCCAGTCACCTTGACAGTGTGTTACACAGCCCACCTGGCCAAAAATTCCACAAAATTCAGGCCTGGTGGGTGAAGAGAGAAGGGCAATATACCTCCAGATCCTCAGTGTAAAATGGCTGTAACATTGCGAAGTTGGCTTTTATTTACAGGTTCTTACCTTCCCTTGGCTCATCACCTGCAAAGCAACACGATCACATCACGTTCTGCAGCCCAGCAGCCTTGAAATCTTCCTCAGAATGGAAAGAACCATAGTCCCTACTGTGACCAGGAGCACAACAGAGCTCTTCTGAGGCCTCTGTAGAAAACTCCTTATGTTTAGTGCTTTTTATGGCAACTCAACAGATGTACAATTCCAAAGCAACCGCCCCAAATGACCTTTTCCTATTACACACCAAAAGCACTGTCTAGCACTGTCTGGCTTTTGGCAGATTCTTGCTGTAACTGCAGAGTCCTTTCCTGTTCCTCCTACCTCCCTTCCAACAGTATTTCCCAGACTCATCTGAAAAGCAACCTCTTCTCCTACAGCCTTTCCACTTTTTTTCCCTCCCTAATCTTTCCCTTCGTAATTTCAGCTGCCTCATTCTAGTTAAACCCACTGACAGCTCCTGGATGCAGTTCAACAAAAGCCACAAATAAAAGTAAAATTGCAGAGTCCTTTCTGCAAGATTTCTCTCTAGAAGCTCTTTTCTGCTGCTGCCTTAAAAATCTTCTCCAGTTCTTCCTCCATAGCCCTTTGCTGACTTCCCTCCTCCCATGACCCCTGTAACATCTCTATACACCCCTGATGGAGGGCTAAGCTCTGTTTGATTGTATATTGTTACTTCAGCAGCATAAAAAGCAGGAGAGAAGTGGAGCAAACAGCTAAAATTAGTTCTCCCCAAGCCCCAGGAGTTTCTACAGAAACTTTTCCTGGTACTCACATTAGGCAGGTTTTATTAGTTTCACCTAAAAGTAAAAATCATCACCTCTCCAAAGGAAAACGAAGCAGATCCTGCACACAAACCAAGCCTAGAAATT